GGGTGGGGGGCTCAGAAGGGGTGGGAAGGAGGCGGGGAATGCGTGTTTGGGTTTGAGGTGGATCTTGCATTGCACTTCAATTCAAAAAGTGGAGACCCCTGCATGTAGAGGTGGGCCTGGCAGAACTAGGTGTGTGTGTCTGGGCTGTGGAGGGTGAGAGTCCGTCACCGCCTGGGTGTCTCGCTCAGAACGTCACCGCTCGCTCTTGTGCGCTGTCGGTTTCCTGTCCAGTCCCCAGTGTATCTGCCAATGTCTCGACTGTCACTTAGGCCTGGTATCGACCTGAAACGTGGGTTGAGGGACTGTCCATCGGGGGGGTGAGAGATTCACACCTCGCGAGGGGCCGCTGAGCCAGCCTAAGCTCTGGTATCAACACCACTAGGCCTTCGGATCCTTCGTAATGGAGCGAAAGGCACGTTCTGTGGTGAGTGCTCCGTGGCTTCCCTCGCCGGAGGAGGAGGTAGTGGCCAACAGCTTCACTGTGGGCTCTGCAGTATAAAGTTCAAGCTTTAATACCACAGAATCTGCAGCACCTGTAACTGCTAGGATTTTTAGTAGTTACAAGGTTACATTTAACACCTTTTTACATCCCTACCGTCTAGGAAGAGGTACTGCAGATAGGAATCCAGGGTCATAGTGGACCGCAAGCTAAATAGGAGTCAGTGAGACACTGCTGAACAAAACAAACCACCACACACAATTCATCCCAGAACGGTATGTTGTGAGCAAGACCCGAGAAGTAAATCTTCTGCTCTACCCGTGCTGATTAGTCGATTAATCTACAGCTAATGTTTTTACTAATTGAATAGTTGATGTAATTCACATTGACTGTTTGATTAGTTGATAAGGGTGCCTCCACCTTTGAAATGTAGCAAGAGCCCTGCCAGATCTAGCTACATTTCGAAAGCAGAAGCACTGCGGGGAGCCTGGGCCGAGCTGGGGACTCAAACAGCCCCCCGCTGGCCCCGCCTCCCTTTGCTTTTGAAATTTACAAGAGGCCTCCCCAGACTCCTGTACATTTCAAAAGCAGGGAGTGCGGGGCCCTGCTTGAGTCCCCGGCTGGTCGTGCTCCTCGCTACGCGTCCACCTTGGAGATGCAGCGAGAGCTGGCAGGGCAGTTGCTACATGTCAAAGGTGGAGGCGCCCTGATCGACTGGGTGAATAGTCGATGCAAATAATCGACTACTCGATTAGTTGATTAATCTAAATTGAACATGCTTGGTGTCCCGTCTACAAACGATGGGCAGGTGCAAGCATCCGACAGTAGGGAATGTAACATACAGAGGTAATGGGTAGGACTGAATGGAAAAGGGGGGGGGGGGTGCTGAATATAGGAGAAATTGCAGGGAAAGCTAGTTGGCAAGGGGGTCGATTTTTGCAGAAATACCTTTGCTTGGGATTCTAGAAACTGTACCGCACGGGTGGGGAACCTAAAGCCCAGGGCCAGGTGCAGCCCCCGGCTTGCCTGATTCCGGCCCCCAAGGCTCAGGGTCCTCCCTCCAGTATTGGGGAGCCTGTGCTGGTGCTCCAGTCCCCCCGCTTCTCACTTGTGTGCAGCCCCTGACTGCTCTTTGTACAGGTCAGTGGCCCTCGACCCCAAAAAGGTTCCCCACCCCTGCTGTGCAGGGTGCTTGGGATGCTCTGTGAGGAGCAGGCCTGCGTTATTGGTGAATGGGATTGGCAGTGAGCGCTGTGAGTGGCGGCGACGAGGCCGGAGGCTGCCCATCGAAAAGGATGCATCATGTGTGCGCACGGGCGGGGGGTTAAAATGCTGTTTCATCGGGGCAGATGGGGTGAGGGGGAAGCCAGCACCGTTTTTGGCTTTAATCTGGGCCCTACATGGGGACTGTTTCTCTGCAGCTTGTCAGCTGTGCATCTCGTTCTGCTGCAGCGGGGTTCTCAGTGAAGCAGCAGTAGCAACCAGAGGAGTAGGGGTGGGGGAGCAAAGGATGAGCTTCTTATGACTCAGGCTGTGTTCTCCCATCTGGGTCACTAGCTTCCCTGCTCTGGGCCTTGAGAGCTGCCACAGAGAAGGGTTTCTCCGCCAGCTCAAAAAAAAGGCTGCGGGGTGGGCTGGCAGGCAGGTCTCCAGGGCAGAGAGGAAGTGGCTGATGTCTGGAGTGTGATTAATAATAAAATAGGAAACTGAAAACTCCCCCAGAAGAGGCTGTTAATTTTGCCTCCTAACATTCTTTGCCTGTAACAAGTGAGAATGCAGCACACGCTGCCAGCTGATCGTTCCAGGCCGGTGTGTCCTGGCTCTAGGCACCTGGATTTCCCGCTGGCATGCGACACAGTAGTACTGTTCTGTGCGGCTCTGCTCTTCCCAAGTATGTACTCCAACAGCAGTTTGGACAAGCAGCAGAACAGAGAGGTGGCCCTGTAATGCGCGAGGGAAATGTTTTCTGCTGAGCTTGTTTGTATATATGTATAGTGTGGGTGTACACGTGCACAGCTTCTATTTTTAAGAGACATCGTTGAAGGGAATTTTTAAATAAAGCCAAGGAATCCAGGGGAGCAAGCCCTGTTAAGTCACCAGGATTTGGGCTAAAATCTTTCCCCTGAAAACCCTTTAGGACATTTTTTAGCAACCAGAATTCTCTAGTGATGTGTTCAGCGCATCACAAATGAGATGATTTCAACTCATGTTAAACAAGTCGTTGGTATGTAATACCGGATCCCATTGTGCGAAATGCTAATTGGCAGCAGCTTGTCTGAACAAGGGATACTTCCCCCCAAAATCTCACCGCTTACCACATCCATTTTGTTCAGGTTTAACATGTTGGCCTTCCATAAGTCAAATGCTTAAAACTTGCACCTGTAAATAAGACGCAGACGCTGATCTGGAACCTCAGTCTGAATTTTGCCTTTCTCCGTAGTGAGTTGCGGCAGTCTGCTTTGCAGACATAACTAGCAATACTAGTTTCCTTGTCAGATGCTGGATGTTGCTACCTGCAAGGTCCGTTCTCTCTGTCGTGTGAGTGCCTCGCTCTGTGAAATAGGGAACGATTGCTCTCTGTCATAGGTGCGATGCAGAGGACCAGGTAACTCTGTTTCAGAGCTGGGTTTGGAGCCCAGCACCTTAACCACCAGGTCACGCTTCCGCTCTGAGCAGTGTCCAGTTTCTCTGCTTTTCGCACCCTGGTACTTACTAGTTTGTGGCACCAACATAAAGAGGGAACATAGGGTAGAACATTGTGTGCTGCAATATTTCAGTGGAATAATCGGCTTCCCGCGCTGATCTCCCACGTTCGAACGCCTCGTGGCAGAGCATGCTGGATGCTGCTGAAATCTGCAGCGGTCGGGCCGCTCCGTGGCTGCTTCTCAGCTGGAAGGGTCCCCAAGCACCTTTGCGCTGCGGGTGGGGCAGAGCTGCAAGGCCAGCCTTGGGGAACAACTCGACCAAGGAGCCCAGGGGACACTGCACCACTCCAGCATCCGCATAGCAGCAGGTGGCCCGGGTGGGTAAGGGCTCACGGAGTGGCATGGAACTTCCTTGATCCAGCTGGACCCCACAGAGGGCCCGGCTGCCTGCTGGGGTTGAGATGCTGGATTGCAGGGGAGTGGCGTGAGCTGGGTGCACGACGTACCTCTGCAGTGGGCTGCTTTGCTGTTTTCCAAATAGCCAGTTCCTCAGGCAGCCTCATTTCCGGGTTAGTCCTTTCAGCTCAGGGTATTTAGCTCGTTAGTCTCTTTCCTGCTTTTGCTAGGAACCATTGGCCAGAGTTTCCATGGTCCTGCCCCTTGTGACTTCAGTTGGCTTAGCGCTGGTGCTCATGCAGTCCCGCTGCAGTTAGTGGTGGTCTGTGGTGTACGCGCCGCCCAGGGCAGCGGCACGTTCAGTTAACGCATGCGGCGGCAACCATGGAGACTCCAGCTTTGGCCCCTTTTTGGAAACCACCGTGAGGCTGAGGGATAACTTTGTCCCGCAAGCTGATCCGAGCCACTGGAAAAACTCGCTGACTCAACAAGCTGTTTGGCGAGGTCTGTCTCATGTGCAAACAATTTTCGAATGGAACGAAAACGCCTGTCGGGGGGGAGACATGGGAATAGTTGCTTGTCAGGTAAAAGTAGCGTGTTTATTACAAACAAACGCACCTGGCGCTAAGCCAGCTGGCAGTCTGGATTCCAGGGTATAAATGGTCTCGAAGATAAAGTCGAAATTCTTCTGCAGCACCCTGGTGTTAGTCACGTATTGGGGTACAGAGGAGCTGGGCTGTGGGGTACGTGGGTTCTAGTTGTGGCGCTCACACTGTCTTGCAATATTAGACCAAGTTACTTTGCCTCTGTTTCAGCCACCTGTAAAAGAGGTGGCACTTTGAGTGATCACGGGGTGCCTGAGAGTCCTGGAGGAGGGCAATAGAAGGGTTTATTCTGCAGGGCTTGCTTGAGGCACCGGCAAACCGCTCCCTGCTACCGGTGTCTCTGTCTCTTGCCGCCGCTAATTTACCAGAGTTCTGAATGGAGGGGAAAGTGCAGCATGAACGCTCAGCGCTCCTGATTGAAATACCCCACCGTCACCACGCAGCTTGGCTTGCCAGTCCCCTCGGCCCCGTGTGTTGAGTCGGGATCGATTATTTCAGTAGGTGGGGGGTGTTCATTAGCACAACTGGGGGCTGTGCCTTCTTGCCGCAGTGTCTGACTGGACCTGTTTGTCTTAGCCGGCTGCCTCTGACCCAGCTTGGGAACTTCTCCTCTGGGCTTGCTGGGCAGACCGACTGTCGCTGCTGGGTCCTGGCAGGCATGGGCTGGCAGCCGAGTGCCCTGCACCGGGGAATGTGCTATTTCTAGGGGCCCCCCATCCCGAAGGCCTGTGGCTTTCATGGGGCCCCTCCCACGCCAGCAGCTGTTTTGCCCGATTAGCAGCTGAGCGCAGTTACGGGAGGGGATTAGCGGGCGGGAGCTGATAGCTCCGTTCAGAACGTGTTTCTCCTGGCTGAGCCCCTGAGCCGGTGACCCTGCCTCACTGGTGTGAGCGACGCCCCGTTACTCCCGACTCTTCTCTTCTGGACTTACCTCGGGTGGCTGCTGGGTGGGGGCCGTGGGGCTCCCCCCTACCCTGGCCAGGCACCACTCCCCAAAGCAGCCAGGAAACTCCATCCCCGGCCCTGGTGCCCCCTCCCTGCTCAGTGGAGAGAGGATACAGGCACCTTGACATCCGCAGCCTCCTCTTCTTCCCCTGCCCTGCAAGCGGGGTGGGGCAGTTCCAAGGCGAAGGGCAGGAGATGTGCAGCGGCTGGGGGGGGCAGCCTCTAGGCCAAACCAGTCTGGATCCCCTGCTAGAGGCCCCAAGATCTACCAGTGGATCCTGATCTCCTGGTTGGTGACCAGTGGCCTAGTGGCGCCTGTTTCTTCTGGGCTTCCTGAGATGCCTTCCTGTCTTTGTGGGGGCGCGGCCTTGTTTGTGGAGGTTGGGTGGCAGGCCAGCTAGAAGCGGCATCTGGGGAGGTAAAGGCTCACTCTGGCCCGTGTCCGTGGGGGAGCTGTTATCGTAGGCCGAGGCCTGTGGCCACGAGGGGAGAGATGGTCCCCTGGCGTGGCGTTTCCGGGGCTCGGAATGGCGGGTGCGGGTCTCCAGGGCGGTGAGTTGACGAGGTGCCGGCTGGTCTGTTTGCAGGGGCTCCTCCAGGATAGAAGAAGCATGCGATCTCTACGCCCGCGCGGCAAACATGTTCAAAATGGTCAAGAACTGGAGCGGTACGTAGGCTGCTCTGGGGCAGGGTCTCTTTGCCAGGCCGAGGGGGCGGGTCCCCCAGCAGGACCGAGCTGCAACCGTTGGCTCTGGGGCTCTGCAACTTGGTCTCTGCCCAGCGTGCCGAGTCCTGCAAGGGATCGGTGGCTCTGAAAGCCAGGCCGCGAGCCTGCTAGTGAGCCCCGGGGTGGGGGCTAGGCACCGCGCAGTCAGAGGAAGCAGCTGCTGCTGCCCTGCATGCCCAGAGCCAGAGTGGGGGACAGCCCCGCCGTGTGGCCAGACACCGCCGGGCAGCGCCACCTCCGTGTCGGCTTCCTTCGCTCTGCAGGACGAGGAAGCTGCACCTGCAAAATAACCCCTGGGTGTCCCTCTGACCGGCTGCGTTGCAAACGGCCTCACCCGTGCTCCCGCTAATCTTTTCCATCCCGGTGCGGAATGATTTTCGCTTGTGCACTGAGGCACGTGTGCATGTGCACCACCTCAGAACCTAGCTGGGGGAGGTCCCTGCTAATCAGCTGGGCAGCATTGGGGTCTCCCCTGAGTGGCCGCCCAAGCGCTCCGCTTCCGGGAAGCCCCGCTCCTCACCCTGGTGGCTTCCTTTCCAGCTGCAGGGAATGCCTTCTGCCAGGCAGCCCAGCTCCACCTGCAGCTGCAGAGCAAGCACGACGCAGCCACCAGCTTCGTGGACGCTGGCAACGCCTTCAAGAAAGCTGACCCGCAAGGTAAGGCGCTAGCCGGGAACGGCTCTGCCGGGGCTGCCCCGCAGGAGCTGGAAGTCGGGACTTCTGGGGTCACGTCCCGGCTGGAGGCGAGGGCTGAGCCACGGGGGGCGGGGAGAGTCCTTTCAGAAGCTGAGCCACACTCCGGCAGGCTGCTGGGACGGAGTAACTCCCCCGGGTCTGTTCCTGGCCTCCTGGCTGAGGGTTTACTGCACCGTCAGCTGGGGCTACCTAACGTGCATGTTGAGTTGGAGCCGCAGCATCCAGCTCTAGGTCTGTCGTGGCCACTAGATCCCTACGGAGAGGGGTAGAGAGGGACTGCAGACCCCTTTTGGAAAAATTCTTTCCCTGATTTGCACCCTTCGCCACTGGAAGCCGATCACTGCGCTTGCCAGCATGGACGTAAATAAGGAAGAGTTATTCATTCCCAGTTCCTGTGCTATGGGAAGGAGTAAACAGGCAGCAGGTTTTAAAACGAACAAACGGAAGGATTTCCTCACGCAGCACACAGTCAACCTGTGGAACTCCTCGCCAGAGGATGTTGAGAAGCCCAGGACTTTAGCAGGGTTCAAAAAAGAACTAAATGAATTCATGGAGGTTGGGTCCATCGATGGCTGTTAGCCAGGATGGGCAGGGATGGGGTCCCTACCTCTGTGTGTCAGAGGCTGGGAATGGGCGACAGGTGGGATCGCTGGAGGATTCCCGGTTCTGTTCCCTCCCTCTGGAGCACCTGGCACTGGCCCCTGCGAGCAGACAGGCTGCTGGGGCAGAGCAAAGGTCCATCTTGCCCAATCTGGCCGCTCTTGGGTGACTTGCAGCCTGGGGGAGTTGACCCCGCTGGGCCGTGGGCCTGTCACATGACACGCTGAGGTCCCTAGTTCGTGGCAACCCTTGTGCAGCCGGAGGAGCTGTCTGCCGTGCTGGGAGAGCTGCCGGAGAGCCACCCCGCTCGCGGTCCGTGCAACGCACAATTGCATCGCGCCGGGATACACCCGTTACTGGGACGCTGTGCGAGCTTCCGGGCCGGCTGCCCTGGCGGAGCGCTGGCGGCTGTCTCGCCGGACGGCAGCTGGAATTCTGGGCGGGAGTGAAGTCGACTGGTTGCTCCGTACCCAGGAGCAGCCCACTGGGCGAAGGGCTGCTCCCACGCCACACAGGGGCCTGCACCCCCCTCCCCCAATCAGTTAAGCAGCTAAACGCTGCCTATAACCAGTTCAACGGGATTTTCCATCCTGGCTTGGCTGCTTTGCAGTCCGGCCTGAGCCACTGCCCTGCTCTGGGGTGGCTACGACGCAGCAGGCACCCTCCCGCTCGGAACGGGGCCTCAGTAACCCCGGCCCAGCCCTGCCCCCTGGGAGCGTCCCTCTTCCCCCGACGTGCTCGGTGTGACGCGGAGCAGGAGAGCCGCTGAAACGAGCTAGCCTGGGCAGCCTGCAGAGCGGCGCTGGGGCTGGCCATGCGGCAAACGGTGACATCTCCTCCTTGAGCTTCTCGGAGCTGAGTTGCTCTGTGCAGCCGAGAACTGGAGGGGTTCTTGGACCTAACGCTCCTTGGTGCTGTGGAAGGGGCGTCAGCTGACAGGCAGGCCTGGGAGTGCTCTGTAGGCCTCGCGTGCTGCCTCCGTGCCCCTTGGCCTGGTGGGCGCCAGCATAGGCCGAGTGCACAGCGAGAGCCGCTTGGGAGAAGAGATAAGGAAGTAACCCGAGGAGACGACACACGTAATCCTCGGGGGATTTGCCTAATCTTCCAGCGGCTTGTTCCGATTACCCAGCCACGTTGTTTTTGCAAGGGGGGAGATGGTGGGGGAGGGATTTGCTCCTGTCCCAGTGGGGTTCGTGGTATTTTTCCTCTCATTAGTGGGATTATTTTTTCTGCTCTCCTCGCCAGTAGTGGAGCTCCCTTCCAGAGGTGGGCTGCTGGCTGGGACGCCCTAAGCCAGGCAGAAGGACCGTTTTGTACCCAAAACAAGCGCTACAGCTCCTGGGACAGCACTTCCTCCTTGCCAAGGAGCGAGGGGCTGTTTCGTGCGCCCCTCACTCCTTGCAGCCTCCTGCTCTGCTCCCTGCGGCCAGGCGGGGCTGGGCTGCTCCCTGTGGCCTTGTGGAGCTGTAGGGGATCCGATAAACCCACCTTCGCCTGACTAGCTCCTTGACAGGCCCAGCC